CCCCCCCCCCCCCCCCCCCCCCCCCCCCCCACAAGGAGGGCTTTATACTTAGGTTACAGAAAGTTCAGATCTTTTCACTAATCACTAAAGAACCTTTTGTAGGCATCAATAATCCCTTCTCTCCAGAGATTAAATTTAGGAGGTAGGGTTTTTGCTATGAGGAACTGGATTCCCTTATTAGGTAGGCAACCATTATAATTATTATTTCGCAACATGAACATCTTGCATGCGCCAGATGGATTTTCCTCGTCTGGGATGACCAAAGAGAAGTTTCCTCCATTTGTTGCTCTATGAGTTAAAAATCAAACAAACAAAACAAATATGTTAAGCCAAAACTGCTAGGTTAGAGCAGTTTTTATTAAACTTTGGATTGTCTTAATAGCCCACGTTCGATATATTAAAATTCTAACATGACTACGAGGCTTTCTGGTCATTCTTCTATATTTGGTTTAGTTTTCCTTGTGCTCAAGTCTCTTCCAGACTCGTACCCAGTCGCTATTTAAGTGTTTTTTGGGGTGAGAGAAGATTGGGGAGTAGGTTAGGGCGCATGCGGGGTTTCCTTCTTCCCTTCCCATGAGACCCCGCGCGCGCCTCAACCTAATTCCCAATCTTCTCTCACCCCAAAAAACCCTTAAATAGCGACTGGGTACGAGTCTGAATCTCTTCTGGGAATTGCGAGACAATGGAGTCGTGAAAAATTTGCAATTTTGACCCTAAAGCCTCGGAGTCATGTTAGAATTTTAATATATCGAACGTGGGCCATTGTTCCCTCGATCTCTCTAATGATGAAGGGCACGACAAACCAAGCCTGAATATTACTTTCAATAAAAGATTGCCCACCCGTTTGATTTGCACGCAATAGGCCTTTTCCTAGTTTCCCCAAGCCTCTGTTTCAAAGCGAGGCTAAGTGAAGAGCCATTGACTATGAAAATGATTTTTCAGTCTCGTGCAACTCAAATTCATTTTCACAAGAAAGGTTTTGCACTTAGCCTCGTTCTGAAAATGACCTGATTGATTGATTAAATAATCTTGGCATAAAGTTATTGTGATATATGGCATTAAATAATACTGTATTCTTGTGGTAACAATTTACCGGACCTGAAAACGAGATTGAGTTAAACGTTGTTGACCAGTGATTGAGCAAAACCGAAACTTCGCTTGCGTTTTTAAAAGCTGTCTAATTAGACCAATTTTGATGTACTAAAGTTCAAACTTGACTTCAAGGCTAAGGACAATAAGACAAAAGAATCAATCTTGGCTTCGGCAATGAATAAAACGTTTTTTTTGTTTCAGTTCGATCTCCTAACCCTAGTTGCCAAGTATGAATTTTAATTTATGGAAATTGGTCTATTGCTCTCGTGTATTCTGTCTTGGTAACTTTTATTTCTGATTCTATTTGCCGCTGATGGTTATGGGTGCTGCTTCCTGAAAAAGCTTGCAACACGTATCTTTTGACTTCATTTTGCGCTGGAAGATCGCCCGTACTGCAAGATCCATTCTAAGCTGTATTATAGAACTTTTCCATGGTGATACGGTAAATCTTCAAGCATGCTTTAGAAAGAGTTCAGCTTCTTCACAGAACATTAAAGATTTGAGCTTAAAAAAAAAGATCTCATTCCGTTCTACTTATTTTCCAAGAATGGGTCCCATACAAGAGAATGCACACCACACCGGCGACTGAATACAACGCAATGCACTTTAATTCATAAACTCGCGGCCGTCCTTCAACCGAGCTAACGAAAGGTACCGATATAAGGAAAACTATTTTCCGGACTTAGAGAGTGTAACTTTCTCTTTCAGCTCATGTCATCCTCTTTCATGTTTAGCAAATAAGACTAAACATTCCGGCCTCGTTTCGTCAGAGACTAAGCGCCGAGTTAAACCGATCTCAGTCGAACGTGATTCAGGAGATTGAAAACGTTTCCAGCTTGAAGAGATGGGTCACGCGGAAGGCTTTTACCCATTTGTGCTAGTGTTTCTCTCGCTGTGCTTAGTCTCTGACAAAAATAAGTGTCTACTCTTCTTATTACCTGACAAACCCGTCAGCGCCTGGAGGTTTTGAATGATGCCACGCATTTTTCTGAAGCAGAAGGAACGCTTTTTTGCCATACCAATCAACTTCTTTACTGGGTGGAATGAAAACGAGGTAGGCTCGATTAGTAAGAGGCCAAGAAAGCTTGAGTACGGTATACAATAAGCTTCCACCTCCTTCTTGTTCGATATAGTTTTCAATGAGTTCGTTAACCGGGAAAGCTGCATTCCATTCTCTTTGGTACTTCACATTGGCAGGGGCAAGGATTTCTACCACTTTCTCTGCTGGCACTGGAATTTCCATCGTGAAGAGGGCTTTTATCGGCACTTCCATATCTGGGAATGTTTTGAACCAGAACGTAGAGACTCCTGGGGTGTGGAGACCTTCACTCCATCCACCTTCAAGAAAAAAGAAACGTTTAGTGTAAAAACGATTGGCCTTCATTCTTACCATTATGTTTTAAAGAAAGGATTTAGCAAACTATGGATTTTTATTGAAGGTAAGGAAAGTCAAGTTTTTAGCTCAAAGCGTTTCCTTTTTTAGCTTTTTTGAATCGTGATTGCGTGAATACTAGCTGCGGACTGCAAAAGATAGCTAAAGAACTTGACGTCACAACGTACACGCGCACACACCTCTCTGCCAATCAGAGCACTGTCAGAGTGATTTGGGTATCCCCGTGTCTTAGGTATGACTCAGGTAACCCCATTCCCCAAATCGGTATCCATCTCTTGCGCACGCATTATCCCTCCTTGGATGAGGAGAGCGGAAGACAATCAGTGAATAGCAATTTTAATTTTCGCGCGTTTTGATTGGCTCCCGTAACTCGTATGTAGTATCCTTGTAAAAAGGGAGTCAATATGGTGTCCTGTTTCGCGACCGGAGGACGACGACATTTTTACAGCTTATTACAGCGAGGAATGTAACCTTTGTGTTACACGTATCAAGGAAAAAGGGTGGAAAACGTCAGTACCGAGTCGGTTTTATGTATTTTATACGCAGAGTTCTTGCTTTACGTTTTTCCTCTCAAGTTAGTGTTAACTTTATCCCCTAAGTGCTATTTTAAGTTTTATTTTGTTCCAATTTGATTCATCATTTCATAGTCATGAATAATACGTTTGATTTACGCGTCTAACATTTTTTAAAATCTTGGAAATGTAATTGAAGATGTCCATGTCAGATAAGTGGAAAGGATCTCGAAACTTTAAATTACTGATTTCGTTTATTTTGCACCTTTCAATTCTCCGATTTCAGTTTTTATTTCAAGAATTACTTGGGAATCATTTTAGGGGCAGCACGGAAAAAACAGGAAACACCTCGGTGTGAGGGTTATTTTGCGGGTCGATTTCGGTGATCATTTTACGAATGTAGATCATTTCCGGGCCTCTTCTCTACAGAGATCTGCTTCGAAATTCTTCTGCTATTTTTATGAATACTGTTCTCCACTTTTGTTTTCAACGCGCTTCTTGTTTCCCGGCGAAGAATCGTTCTGTATTTTTCTTGCCTTTACTTAACAAAAACTTACAATCGACATGCAGGATATAGCGTGCAAGAAGCAAATCAAAGGCACCTTTCTCACTTGGTGCTCGGGAACGGTGCCCTTCAGTCAGTCAAGTACCTACTCTAGAACTTAGGCATAAAAGTGGACACCGGGTCCCTGTGTGCACACCGTTTTTGTTAGTTCTGGGGAAGTCCTGCACTGCTTTGTACACGCTACTAAGCTCATGTTTCAAAATGGCCTTAAACAGGGTGTAATGGAGTAGCTGGAGTACTCAAGGCCGGGACTCAAGGTGCGAACACTACATTTTTTTTGCCTATAGCCTGCGTAGTTGGCGGTATTGTGTGGGTGCGAGATTAAAGTTTTGGCGGCGGAGCCGTGTTCCAAAGAAAGGGAGTAAGGACGAGGCGGTTGAAATTCTCGCGGTTTCGCCGCTCGTGACGGCTCCGCCGTCAAATTTCACTCGACTTTATTACAACAGCTCCGCCGCCAAATCTCACTCGAGTACTACACAATACCGCCAGCTACGCAGGCTATTTTTTGCCGTTACCCAGGCACTGGTTCCCGCACAAGTGTGGACTGCCCTAAAGAAAGGCGAATCAATTTTGTTTTGCCTTCTTTCAAACTCTTTGTTCGACAGATTTTCCTTATTTTGTTGTTCTATCACTTTCGCTTACCTTTCTCAAGGTCCTCCTTAAACCATTTGGCTCTTTGCAGCTCTTCCTCGTATGAGATCTCTCGGAAGTCTTCTTTCTCCATTCCCACCTCTTAAGAACAGTATCTTTTGCGGCAAACAAAGCAAACGAATGCCGTTTTTATGCTGCTGGAGACGTTAAACTCGTCTTACGACGACTTTGACGTCTAGTATAAGAAGGTTAGTCTGCTACACAGCCGTTTTTAGAGTCGTCACGCAACGGAGGAGGAGGAGGAGGAGGAGCGTTGCGTGACGACACTAAAAACGGTTGTGTAGCAGACTAAAGAACGGTAAGTAAGACAGACGCATTTAACTTATGACGACTTAAACGCCTTCTTTTAATTTAAATTAAATTATTTAATTTAACAGACCACTTTAAAGTTCCAGACGTTAAATGCGTCTAGTATAAAAGCGGGACGCCATGAACTGGGACGCATTTAGGCCCAACTCGTCTAGAGGCCGGTAGAACAAGAGTTGTATATTTTTTTACAGAAAAACTCTGGTTTTTTTTCACAATGCTATCGTTTACTTTTATGCTTGCCGTTTTGGGACCAGTCGACTTAAATGTCTCAACTTTAAATACGTCTGGACGACTAGCAAAAAAAACCGGGCCAGTACTAAAGCAAACTAAGGACACGCTTGTGAGAACTCATGCGAAAAATGCTGCATTAAGGTGGCTCGATAAAGTTTTTCAGGGTCAATACCTCCCAAGTTTAAGCATAAACTACGACGCCATAAACAAAGATTTGAAAACAATTGCCACCACAGTCGTATTAGATAAAGATGAAGATTTGTTACGATAGGGTTGCAATGAAATGGCAACGAAATGACGCCATTACTTGTTTCACTTGCAGCAGTATTTCTCGGCACTGGATCTGTTGTTCCAAAATCTTTCACGAGAGCTTTTTCCTTCAATAACCGCCTCGATGTTAGTGAAGATTAAACAAAATCTGTTATAGCGTTATCAAGATAGAAATAAAAAATAGGTAATGGCGTCATTTCGTTGCTATGACAACTCCGATGTCATTGCAACCCTAACCTGAGATCAGGCCCAATTTGAGTGGTTCTCATACATTCCCTCTAACGGCTACCGCTAAAATTGGGCCTGACCCAAACTCATTCGCGTTTGTGCTCGTTACGGCCAGATTTTGGCCGCAACGCTGATTGGCTGTTAGAACAATGCCACAAGATCTGATTGGCTGTCGGAAACACCGGAAGTTGAAAGCGCGTTGTTTTCGTGAATGATCCGTCGTCGGCGGAGAGAAGGATCGATTTTGCTTTCTTTTTTATTGTTTTATGGTCTTATGGTAGGAAAATATGCCTTAATATGTGCCATATAAGTGTTCATATCTTCTCAGGATTTACTTTATTTACGGAAAGTGAGTCAGTATCGGGGAGTTGAATCCCTCTGCAAGTTGTTGACCGCTAAGAAGGTGCCTTGTGATTTACCAACAAACGGGTACAAATCAAAATACTGTCCATCTTAAAACTGGTTTCATTTGAAAGTTTAGCCGGGAATGACTTCTCTGAACGAAGTACGCAAGCGGAGGCTCACTGCGAAAGAAACCTCAATCGCCAGCTGTGAAGTATTAGACGAAAAATATCGCATCGCTGTTCAATAAGGGCCTGTTTACATGGAGGTGGGGAACCCCAGGTAGGTGAGGTAACATGTGGCAGGTCACCCCACCTGTCAAGTAAACGTGATCAAATTAAACTGAGAGATTATATGGACAGGCGGGTTACCCCAACTAAGCGGGTTACCTCACCTTCCTGGGGTCCCCCACCTCCATGTAAACAGGCCCTAACTTAGACTGCGAGCAGTCTCTCTTTTTCTTCAGATTTAGTAAGAGCAATGCCTCTCCCGTCTCGCTCCATCAGTCACGTGCGTGGC